TATTTAAGACCATCTGCGTCCGTGTTTTTTTGATAAGAACTAAATTTACATTCGTTTTATACTATACTTCACCGGTGGTCGTATACGCGACTGCTGATTGTGAGATTCTGGGTTCGAATTTCAAACCAAAATCAGTTAATGCGTTTTTCGGTGAAGAAATTTTCCGTAGCAGCCGGTCGTGATTCTAGCGGTGTTTCAATGCCTCGGAAAGCACGTAAGCCGTTGCTCTTGTGCCTGATCTATCCCCAGTCGTATCGGATTGCCGTCTCATCGGCCTATGAAAATGAGCAAATAAGAGTGCACTTTTTTTTTTTAGAATAAGAGTGACAAACGAGCACACAGTCCACCTGATGGTGTGTGGTTGCTGTGGCCCATAGACATCTACATCTACCTTCGTTTGCGAATTAAAATGCAGATGCGTTGTCAGCCGTGAGGACCAAGATAGAATGCCTCTTTTCCAGTAAAAGGGGTTTCCGGTTCTCTACACTCACCATACGAAACACAGCAGCATTAAGCTGCTATTTTACGCTGGTATTCTGTGAGAGCGTGGTCCTTCCCCGGTCGAGCCGACCCATTCGTACTACAACTATACTATTAATATAGCTGCAGCATGGCTCTACCACGTTTAGAACCACGTGCTTGCGCACACACTCGTGCACTTTAATCCGCAGATGTTTAGTCTCCGTTGAGTCTGATAGCCGTGGCCGAAATTCTTTTTTACTATACTATAGTGACTACGTGGTCAAGTGAATAGAATACGTTACGTATACGTACCGTCGCGGGTTTTGAGGTACGTTCGGTCCTGGCAGAAAGTGAAGCCACAAATTGTTGCTTTTCGTGTTTGGATGTGTTGTGATTGTCATAGTTACCATCCACTGCACTACACTGCATTCAAGCCTCCAATCTTGTCCCATAAGCATGGCATCGAATACGAAAGTAAGGACGAGTTAGTCCTCTGTGTGTAGAGTCGAGGTAGAGAATCAGTAATATTACAACAGACTTTCAGGCATCCCATTTTAGTTCCTAGAGCTGACAACACTTCTGCAGCCTTCTTTTTTTGAAGTTGGCGAATATGTCCATGGACTGCAGTAGCCATTTCACATCGAGTGGACTGTAAGGTCGTTTGTCAGTTTTATAAAAAAATCAGATTGAGATATCAGTGTCGAGACGACCAATGCCACAGTCAGTACAAGTTGCAGCATGTAAGTCTAGCGCTGAACGAAACTTGGAAGGGATGCGCACGAATTGAAGTGCACGAATGTGCCGGAGAGCCAATCAGCGCGTGCGAACGATAAGCACGAGCCAATCAGCGCGACTTATGCACAATAAGCCAATCAGCGCGATTTATGCACAACAAGCCAATCAGCGTGACTAATGCGCAATAACGGTCACCGTTAGGCTTTCGTGCCGCTACTTATAGCTTGTTTATGATATCATGACGATGTTGGTGTCGACTGTGGTGATATCTAAGCGTAAAGCCTGGACGGAAAGCGTACTGGTAGAGCATGCGTCGTGAGGCCGCATAGGACATATATTTTTAACGGTTGCCCATCAGCTCATAGAAGTCCATTGCTAGACAAAGGAAGGACGAGTTAGTGCGTCTATGTTTAGTTGTGTCGTGTCTATGTTACACCGTGTTGTGGACACAGCGCGAATGAATCTACTCGGTAACACCACCCTTGCACAGAATCACCAACAGCATTATGCTGCATTCCCTCAGCGCGGAAATGCAGCATAATACTGTTGTGTTTCGAATAATGAGTGACAAGAAACTGAGATCATTTTCACTGGCATTTCATCTTAGTACTCAGGAGTGACAATGCATCTGCATTTTGATTCTTAATCGAGGACAAATATGGAGTACTTACTGGGTGGTAGAACTTCATTTCTGCCTAGGAGTTTGCTGGACACTACCCTCTATTATTTCTATCGTAAAATAGCATTGCTTGCAGTTCTGGTCTCTAGGGTATGGAGCCAGTATAATTACAGGTCAAGTGACATTTTCTACCGACTTCAAAAAAGAGACGGTACTCAATTAGGCTGTATGTTTTTTTGTTTGTTTTTTTACGTGTGTTACCTCATAACTTTTTTCTGGGTGAACCGATTTCGATGATTCTTTTTTTATTTGAAAGCTGGTGCTTTTTTATTTTATTATTTGATTAAGGTCTGACCAAAAGTTATTGAGTTATTCTTAATAATTGATATTGAAGTCGGTTGTACAAAATTTTGTAATAATCTTCATCCTCAGAGCTGACAATGCGCGCTTTATGTGCCGAAACATTATCATGGTGTAATAGAGTGCCACTTGGTCGTTCTTACATAACTTTTTCAAAGATACTGGACAAACAAAGACAGCATTAACTGTCTATTGTCAAGTGGGATCGTGCAGGCAGGACCCGTGTGAGAGAAGAAAATGCAATGCAAATGAAATCATCGCCTTTGTTTCGGCGACAGCATAAGCTGAAAGAAATTCGTTTGCCTAACGCGCTTTTTTATTTTATTTTGTTATAACTTTAATTGATATGTGTACAAATATTTCAATTTAAGTGCCTAATTTATGTGTGTGGCGCATTTGCAATAAATGTTTCTTTCTTTCTCTCTTTCAATCATTTTCTCCCACGCTTCTTGCATGATAATACTTTAACAACATTTACACCAATCACACTAACAGTAGCCACATTTTCCTCGATATTTACCACAGTCGAAGGTCGAGCTTCACGGATTTCATCATGGAAAGAAACACGGCCAAACGTACGTACCAACGCCTTATGGTTCATAAATGAGTTGCTTCCCTCCCAAAATCATTTTGATGTCGTACAGTGCAATCTTACGGAGAGAGTGAACTTTTAAAATCATAAATAATTATCAAGATCTCGATGACGAACTTCAACTTGATATAAAAAGACAATTGCCACGCGACTTCTTATCAAAAGTTATTTTAATCAATTTATAAGTTTCATAAGTTTTAAAAATATAACATTCGAAATTCGAACATTTATGAGCAACCAGGATCCCAGAACTTTCAGTGTTGCCTAGGTACCATCAGGTAAAACATCCCGTTACTTCTATAAAAAAAAGTTAATAATGATAAGTACATAGTCTATTTACACACCTAGTACGTTATACTTCAAACGGATATAAAGTAGACATACTCGTATCTAAGAAGATCCGTTCCTTTTATCAGCGCGTAAAAAAATTATATAAGCTATAAAATTCTTATCAGCTGTGTTAGCAATGTCTAAATAATATTTTTGTTAAATAAATCTGACATAAATTAATAATACAGTGTCTTTATTTTAGGCATCAAGGATTTAAAAAGTCACGACGTCTTAACCGGACGTACTTTTGTCCAAACAGAGATGTAGAGCTGGTACAATATGCAGAGTTGTACTCGCGGCTTTTCAACAAGAGTAAACCCGTCATAACAGATCTTGTTTCGGGTCACCACGGGAACCGATTTCGTCTCCACACTCGTTTTGGATCACAAGAGGGTGGCGGACGTGAAGAGAAAATTCCGCTAACGTCTTCCCTTATACGTCCTTCCTTGTTGTAATCCCGACCTTAGTTGTGGAGTGCTGAATCTTACCTCTAAATTGAGATACTTGGAATTAAGGGTGACTCGTGGCCTAATAGTTAATACCTCAAAGTAAGTGCCAGTTGGGTGCTTATACTCTCCAGCATAAGCACCCAACTGGCACTTACTCGTAATAAAATTATAACAAAAAGTTACTTAAGATTAGATATTATATTGATTTATTTTATGTCGTGGAGCCACACTGCAGCTATAGGTTGTAGCACGAATAGATTGGCTCGACCAGGGAAGGGCAACACTCTCTGGTGAACGCTCACTCGCTAGAATACCAGCCTAAAATAGTGCTGCTGTGTTTCGTATAGTGAGTGTAGAGAACCGGAGACCCTTTTTATTGGAAAGGAGGCATTCCATTTTAGTCCTAAGGATAACAACGCATCTGTATTTTGATTCTTGGTCGAGGATGGATGTAGATGTCTATGAGGCATAGCAACCAGCAACCACCTAGCATTAAATAAACTATGTGCTCGTTTGTCACTCTTAATTTATTAAAAAAAAAACTTTACAAAAGCCTTGTATCACTCAGCCACTCTTGCGTTGAAGACACTCATATTATAATCGGATGGAGAGACATCATCATCATTAGCATTCCAGTCCTATACAAGTCTACGGCTGAACATAGGCCTCCTCCAAAGAATGCCATAAAAGGAAAGATAGATGTGGGAAAATTCTTCTACTCCTATGCTATACGCTTTATGAACGACGAAGTAAACCGTTTGGTTCCAATGCGCGGTATATCGACAGCAAATGAAACCGGCTGAGCGTCTGGTGTAGGGTTGCCACCCGTACTATAATATATAGTATCGTAATATATACTATATTTCAGTCAATTGTACTATATTATAGAAAAATAATATAGTATGGAAAATACTATATTTTTTCACCTACTAATTCAAATGTCGCGACTTTTTACATTAACTGTGACTGGAAGTCTGGAACAAGTAAGTTTTACGGAAAGAATTTTTCCGTCATGAATGTTAAATGGAAAGAAGAAAGAAATGGATAATAAATTTTAGAGATGCGCCGAATATTCGTTTGGTATTCGGTATTCGGCGTATTCGGCACCTTATTCACTATTTGTATTCGGCCGAACTATTCGGTTTTGGTACCGAATATATTCGGTTCAAATATTTCAGTTTTCTTATCTATTTATTGTACACAGACTACACAGTATAGAACAAGAACACATAACTTCTGTAGTAAGATTTATGTTAAAGCAAAAATGCTAGTTTTATCCCTACTTTTGCAGTGTATGAAGAATGTGTTGGAGAAGGTAATAAAATAAAGCAATTAAACCTCAAATCAACATTTATTTTTAATGAACACGCTTATGTGGCTAATTGACAAGGCAATAATCTTATGTGAGATCAAATATGAAAAAAAAAACATAATCAAAAGAAAAATTAATATTTTAGTATTTGTAATTAATCAAGGGTAAGTTATGGTGCAGAAACACCAAGCTCTCAGCCCTCTCTGGCAATAGTCTGTTGCGTTTCTTCTCGTAAAGGTTTCCTGCTTCTGAAAATAATCTTTCGCTGTAGACACTGCTACCAGGAGCACTTAGAAATACTCTGGCTAAATTAGCTAACTGTGCGTATTTAAACTTATGCTTTGTCCACCAATCAAAAGGGCTCTGATTTCTAGGTAGAAGACTTTCAGCTACATAACTGTCCAATTCCACGGCAATTGGGTTTTTAGGATCTTCGTAAATGACAGGGTTCGTCGAGGCAAGAGTTCTTCATAACAGTTCCAAAATGCTATATGCGATTCCTCTAAAAAAGTTGTAACATCTTGTAGAGGTCTTCCTCTGTTTGTTTCAACTTCATCTTCGCTTGAGCTTTCAGCATCAGTGTCGCTTCTTTGAATGGCTACTAGAAAAAGCTTTTTTCTTACTAGTTCGCATTTTTAGGGAGCAAAAAATCTCATTCTAAATCTGGGGTCCAATAATGTAGACAAGCAATAATATTTGTCTATCTTCCAAATTTCGAAAACGACTCTGAAGTTCTTCTTGTAGCTTCTGTACCATTGATAGTATATTGGGACATATATGTGAAATTGCAGGCTTTGTTAAAATTTGATCAGAGTGTTACTCTGGGGAATCACTTCAGAAATTGACGAAAATGTAGAGCTGGTAATTTTGGTGATATCTTCAAACGGTTTTAATAAAATTAGACATTCTTTGAGAATCAGCCACTGCCTTTCAATACAGTTTCGAATATTTACTGTGCTAGAATGGTCCGAAATGTAAAGTGAAATCGCACGCTTCTGTTCAACGATTCTTTCCAACATATAATACGTGCTGTTCCACCTCATTGTGACGTCCTGTACATGCTGATGCTCAGCAAGATTCAGTTCTTTCTGGATATTTTTCAGCTTTTCTTGCGCCGTGTTTGAATGGTTGAAGTGTGTTACTATTCTTCTAGCAGAGGTCAAAGCATCATTTACGTTTGCAACCTGTAATGAAGCTTAATCGCCAATTGTAACGTATGTATAAAACACCCCTTGCCTACAAACAGACTTTCATTAATGGCTTTCACCATGTTGGGACCATTATCTTTCATAATCACGTGGATAAGAAAAGTTATGTCCCAAGTTGCAGATAAGTCTTCTAAAACAGAACGAATATGATAACCTGAGTGAGACTCAGTAAAATGTTTCATTTGCAGAACTCTATGCTGTAAAACAAAGTCCTTATCAAGCCAGTATGCAGTGAACCTCAGAAAGCTAAGCATGTTGTTCAAGCAAGTCCACATATCAGATGTAAGTATTCGAACAGCCTTGGCTTTTGAGATTTCATCCTTGATCAATTTTTTCACTCTTTCATAAATCGCTGGAATCACTACTTCGCTCATATACATCTTACCAGGCAACTTATATTTAGGCTTCAATAAATGCAATAACCTGTTAAATCCTTTATTTTCCAGAATCGAAATTGGCTGATTGTCAGTTGCAATCATTTCAGCGATGGCGTTATGAATTTACTTTGATCGAGGGTCTGTTATGTCCCAATTTGTAAGAAATGCCTGCTCTATAAATTGTTGTGATTTTACACCCGATGTTATTGGTAAAGTGTCTGAGCTATGTTCAGAAGCACTTACAGAAGTAGACGTGGTTGCTGGCAGTTTTTCTTTATGCTTCAGCTTCAAATTATTTGTCATACCACTCGTCAAAGCGCTGCGGCCTGATCCACCGCGAGAAATAACACAACTACATAAAGTGCAATTTTTCAACAGTGGTAGAGCCACGCGGCAGCTTTTGCTGTCGCACGGATGGGCCGGCTCGAACCGGGGTGGTACCACGACTTCACAGCATACCAGCGTGAAGTAGAGGTTTACCTCTGCGTTTCACTTGGTGAGTGCAGGTGGCCGGAGGCCCTTTTCACTGGAAATGAGGCATTCCATCTTAGTCCTCACGGGTGAAAACGCATCTGCATTTTGATTTGTAATAGAGGATAGATGTAGATGTCTATGGGCCGCAGCATCCACTTACCATCAGGTGAACTGTGTGCTCGTTTGTCACCCTTATCCTATAAAAAAAAGTGCAATTCACTTTTGTTTTGTCATCTTCTATTTCGTTAAAAAAGTCCCATGCACGTGATCTTTTACGTCCACTCATAATGCAAACACAATATAGTCAATATAATCAATATTTTTATTATAATAAACACATTTGTTATTAATTATAACATAATCGTGCAATGTTTCAAAGCAAAATGCCAGAACGCGGTGCGCACGGGTAGCAAGCGGTGTAGTGAGGTACGGCTCGCTCATCGTCTAGCTAGCGAGTAGCGACACGCAGCGGACATGTAAGAACCTGTTTATGCGGCAAAACAATGAAATCGCAAACCGAATAATTCGGCCGAATATCCGGTTCGGTACAGGTTAAACCGAATAGTAGCTATTCGGTATTCGGTTATTCCGCAAAATCACTATTCGGCGCATCACTAATAAATTTAATTAAAAATTAATTGTTAATTTATTTTAATATCAATCTAAATTGCTCAGATTCCTATGATTATTTTAAAGGTTGATGGCCAAAGCGAAGAGAAATAACAAATTTATAAGGAAAAATGCATAAAGATTAAAAATAAATGTGTACTTTTTTTTTCCTGAATTTCCCAAAAATACTATATTTTTGCGTCTTTTTTGGCAGCAGTCTTTATTTATTCAAAAAAAAGTGGCAACTCTAGTCTGGTGGTAGGTACGATGATGGAAGGATTTGTTTTAATGTTCCTGGGTCGGCCAAAAAAAATCGGTTACTGAGTTTTTCCGTCAAGAAATTCTCAGTAGCTGCCCGAAGTCAGGAAGTTTGCGGTGTCTCACCCCCGTGCCTCGGAAAGCACGTAAGGCCGTTGGTGCTGCGCCTGATCACTCCCCGGATGCGTTGCTTTAGCGTCCCATCGGACTATGAGAGTGGAGGAATAGAGAGTGTACACGTGCTTGCTCATACACTTTGGCACTATAAACCTGTGCCGCGCCTATGGCTAGTCTCCGTTGAGGCTGGCCGCCGTGACCGAAATTCGGTTCCCAGGACATTATATATATGGACTGTGTGTGGTATAATAAACAAGATCGTTATACCGATATCTATCGTAAGCCGTGAAACCTTTCTGACATATTCCATAGTCACCCTCTTACACCCATAGCACAGTGTGTGCTACCGGCAAACGGTATTATCTATTTTCAGACATCCATAAATAACAGCCTATAAAAGTATAGTGCTTTAGAGGCTCAGAAGGGGTTTTTGTCGTAGTCGTGTTGGGGGTTTTGACACCCATTGGACGATATGGAGTAGTTTTTTAGTACTATAATAAAATAATACTATTTAGTTATAAATAAATCAATCTAAAATTAACCCGGTCAATAAATAAATCAATACTCTATTATGGCAAGTGCTCTAAGAAAGCATTTAATGCTGCAATTAAATTAGAAGTTCTCGGCTTTACCGAACTCAACTAGTACCTTTTGTTATCCTTATATGAATCACGAACTCCGCAACGAACTAATTATGGTAGGAATATAATCTTTGGACGATACCAATTATGTAGGTACATAACTGCAGGAAATGACCCTACCTATATCAATGCACTGGAATGGCGGATATAATATCTCCGGTGTGAAGTCCTTCTCAGCCAGAACTACGAGTATGTAAGTAATCTATGTGGTGCATTAAGGCGATAACCCTTGCGATTGTGCGTTTTTCTTCGTTATTCAGAGACTATTATCTCATTAATTATGAGAAATAAACTACGTGTTTTTTATACGTGCTGCAGCTATATTAATAGTATAGTTGTGATATATTATACCGGGGAAGGACCACGCTCTCACAGAATACCAGCGTAAATTAGCAGCTTAACACTGCTGTGTTTCGTATGGTGAGTGTAGAGAACCGGAGACCCTTTTTAATGGACAAGAGGCATTCCATCTTAGCCCTCACGGGTGACAACGCATCCGCATTTTGATTCTTTATTGAGGATAGATGTAGATGTCTATGGGTCACAGCAACCACTTACCATCAGGTGGACTGTGTGCTCGTTTGTCACCTTATCCTATAAAAAAAAATCTAAAAGCACATTATTAATGTTCGATATTTATAACACATAAAAACATTATATGCATCTGTTGCTAAAGGCAACGCTCTTATCATTTGAAGATTACACTAATGGATAGATAATTTAAAAATCTATGTTATTCACGTTTTATTTAAATTTTAAAGTTCGCTCTTCTTTTTTTCTATTTAAATATATATAATTCTATGATAAATGGGCGTACGCAGAGTGCGGGCGGAGTTGCACTGCATGCTCAAGGTTATTTTTTGGTCAGGAAAACGCCTTAATATAATAATTTATACGTGGTAGAGTCACGCTGCAGCCATATTATGGTTAATACGGTTGTAACACGAATGGTTCGGCTCGACCAAGGTAGGACTACGCTCCCACAGAATACCAGTGTTAATAACAGCTTAGTCTTATTACTGCTATGTTTCGTATGCTGAGTGTAGAGAACCGTAGACCCTTCTCACTGGAAACGAGGCATTCCATCTTACTCCTTAAGGGTAGCAACAACGTATTTGCATTTTGATTTTTATCGAGGATAAATATATCTATGGGCCACATCATCCACTTACCATCAGGTGGACTGTGTGCTCTTTTGTCACCCTTATTTTATAAAAAAGAAATATGGCTAGGTATCGGTATATGTATATAGTAGGACACAGGTCTCGCTCTCTTATCCGCGAGAGAAAGGAAGATTTGTATAGTACATTATGCTAAACTAACATTGGATTATCACGTCCTGGATGCCTTGTTTTCCTTACAATGGTTTTTTTACATCATTAAATTATGTGCACAATTTTTCGTCGCCGGAAATAGATCGAGAGTCGTAGCAGAACACAGACACAATTTTAATGTGGAAGTAGCGCGGTTTTTTTTTTTTTATAGGAGAGGGAGCAAACGAGCATGCGGCTCATCTGATGGTAAGTGACTACCGCTGCCCATGAACAACCGCAACACCAGCCCAGAGATGGGAACAGTATTCCATGTGAGGCCGAACCTGCGCCTTGTAAAGTTGCAGGCGTTGAGCCGGCATGAAATACTGTCCCGCTCTGCTGAGCACGCCAAGCTTTTTAGAGGCCAATTTGGCCTTCTCTTCCAAGTGACCACGAAACTGCACGCTA